TTTTTTGAAATTATGGAAGAAGTGATTATACATGTGTTGATATTGAGAATTATGTTATTTAATTATTATAAGTTTAATGGCTATCAAAAAATAAATATTTAAAAAGAAATGAATTTTTATGGCATAGAAAACATAGAAGTCATATAAAATTTCATCATTTTTACAGCATGTTAGTGCACACTTTTAAAAAAATGAGACGAACATTTATGACATGCAAGAATGTTATCTTATTACAGCATGCAGACTCATGCCGTGAAAGGTTAAGCATTTTTGGCATGCAAGACATGTCGTAACTAGTTCATTAACGGCGTGCTTTTTGTTTTTTACGGCATACGTAGAATGCTGTAAAAAGATATGCGTATTTATGGCATGCTTTTAAAGCAAACTCTATTGTAGTGTAGTCAATATACAGAAGAACATTATTGCAATAGTCCTAGCAAGTTAAGCACTTGACATCATACTGAAGTTTATTTAGGTCCCGTTTGATACCCATTTTTTTCAAAATACATTTTTCTCTCTCTTCTTTTCAACCACACATTCTTCATTAAAATAATATTATACGTAAATAAAAAAAAATTCTTATTTTTCAACAACACATTTTCCATCAATTTACTATTTCAAAATGCATTTTTATATAAAAATGGCTCTCAAACACCCACTTAGTCCCTAATCAAATTAATACACCGAGGTATTTTCAAATTTCTTGACTTCACTTTGATTAGATATCAAGATAGGGCTTCATGCATATAACTATGAATGTATTGTGAATCTGTTTTCTTTTATACATGTTTCAAGAACTTATATGCCCTCAATAAGTAATCTTTTGAGAGAAAAATTGTCTTGGCAAGTGTCCTCTCTCATTTGGTCTTCTAGTACAAAAATTGAACTGGGCATGATGGAGCTCTTTTTGATCTTTTACTTAATTGCATCTCAGGTTTACATACTTTCACTTCGATTGAGGTACTAATAGTCTCGTAGTCGCGTGCCGTTGAGTACATATAAAACATTGGTGATCGATGTGATGCAAATGTTACAATTGATTTCGATAAGTTAAATCATCGTGTCTATTGAAAGATGAGACGCCAACCAAACTTTTAATTTGTTAGATTGTGTTTGATTTCAACTTGTTTCATTTAAAAATATATAGGAAGGTGAACTTCGTTATATACAATTCGTCGTGCTCCACTACATACTATTCAAGTATATTGTATCAATTTTAAAGTATACGACTTACAATTGATTCAATAATTTAATCCACCATGTATATTGGAAGATGGGATGTCAATCAAACTTGTAACCTATTATACCGTGTTTGGCTTTAACCTAATTCATTTAAAAATATATAGGAAGATAAAATTCGTTATATACAATTCATCGTGCTCCACCACAAACTTTCAAAGTATACCATATTTGATTTTTAAGCATACAACTTATAATTGATTTTGATAAGTTAAGCAATCATATATGATGAAAGATGAGATGTCAAACAAACTTCTGACTTGTAAAACCTTGTCAGATTTCAACATATTTCATTAAAAAATATATTGGAAGAAAACTTCATTATATTTAATTCATTGTGCTCCATTACACACTATTCAAGTATATCGTATTCGATTTTTAAGTATACAACTTACAATTATCCTTCATTTGGGCTCCATTATTTCAAATTATAATGAAAGGAATAGTAAATTTTTGACAATGTGTGGTTAAAAAGAAATGAAAAATTTTAGGTCTATGTATAATATTATTTTATTGAAAAATATGTGGTTGATAACAAGAGAGATAAAATTGAATTTTAATTCAATGGGGAGCCGAACATGGGCTTAACTTCGATTAGTTAAACTATCAAGAACAATATGACGAGATGCTAATCAATCTTTAAAGTGATAATGAAAAACAACTCTAGTCATTTAAACAACAGTAGTCATTTTAGGACAACAGTAGTCGTTTCTTCCTAAAATGACTCTAGTCATTTTTCTTTTTAAAAATGGTTGCTCACCGCGGTTTTGCAAACCTTGGTTGAATCACGATTGAGATGGATTTTTTGTTTGCCGTGAGTTGAATGCAATTTTGTAAATCGTGGTTAGGAGAATTTGTGAAATGGAAAACGATTGTGGTCGAACAGTAGTCATTTTATTTTAAAACAACTATAGTCGTTTTTCATTGATCAATTTTTCCTGAAAATTTGTAACAGATAACAACCTAATTGAAAGAAGAAGAAGAAGAAGGTATATTTGTCATTTAAAGTTAAGGACATTTAAAATATTTTAACAATATAGAAGAGAAAATTATATTCACACCACAATTTTCATTTTATGTAGAACATTTTAATTGCACTTAAGATTTTTAATCTTTACTTACTTATATTTCTAAAGACTTTTCATATCATTCTTATTGTCAAAATTTTCATTAATTAAAACATTTTGTATTTGACAACAGATTTACATCAAAAACTTTATCAAAATTGTGTAAAAAAAACTTATTTTCCCATCACATTTTTAAAAGAATAAAACAAAAAGTACAAACAAATATTTTTTCTTTCATTTCAAAGTATGAAAATAAAATATTTTGATATGAATCATCATCTAGGACGAGACATACTAATTAATGAAAAGTTGAAGATAAGAACTCGAGGCGTGATGTGGGGTGGGTGGCGGGGGAGGCCGAAGAAGACAACCCTTTTTAATTTCTTTTTCTTAATTTTTTGACCTTTTTTTTATTTTTTCCTAAGTTTTTTATTTTTTGGTTCAATTTATTTAATATGTAATTATCAAGTTATCATTTTACAAATTTTGATTTAGTCAAAATTTACTTTTTTTGGTAAACTAACGGTCAAACCATCCATTTGGCCTACTACTGCATATTCTTGAAAGGTTAGGGACATTCGCTAGCACAAATTGAAGATTAGGATAAAATTCACAAAAATTGAAATGTTAGGGACCGTTGCTGCAATTTTTCCTAAAATATGATACCTCAAGTACAATATACTATGAGGTATAGAAGCAAATTTTGAGATTTTAAGGTAATTTAGCAACTTTGCCATTTTTTAACAACCTTGTGTTAATATTCTTAAAAATTGGATATATAAGAGTTTTACACGAAATTAAATTTTAATATTATTTTGGATATCTATTAAATTATTATTGAATTATCTTATATAAAAGTATTTAGATAAAACTTGAATTTGCATATATCAGCACTAGAATTTTATCCTCTCATAGTTAGAATTTTCTTAAATTCGAATTTTATGATAAGTTTGATTATTGAAAGAGCAACCGAAAAGAGTCCTATTAAAATTCTAATTAGATAATTATCCTTATCTAATCATACATATAAATACCTTCTTGTTGTTGCATTTCAATTCATACAAATTTAGAGGGAAAAAAGAATTGAGAGAGAAGAAAAAGAGAGACAAAAACCATGAAAAAGAGAGAAATCTTCTTGTTGCATTTCAACTCATACAAATTTAGAGGGAAAAAAGAGCTGAGAGAGAAAAGCAAGGACAGAGAAAAGAAAAAGAGAGACAGAAACCGTGAAAAAGAGAGAAAAAGAAAGGAAAGAGAGAGAAAAGGAAGAAAAAGAAAAGAAGATGTTTTCTGACACCTTCAAGATTCGTTCAAAAGAATTTTCAGTTCTAAATAGTTAAAGTGTGCAAGAAATTTAACGAATAAGATATGAATTTCTCTAAATTTCAAGTGGTTTTGTGTTTTTCACTTTTTCATGTTTCATTTTTAAGTATTTTATATGCTATTATGTGATCTAAATTAAAGAATGATCTTATGAGTAATACTATCGACTATTATTATATAGATCTACATATGAATCAATTGTAAGGATAAATATGCTAAGTGGAGATTGAAATAGATATGATCCAAGTAAGAATGGGATGGTCAAGTTTCTATCCCGCCAGAAAAATTATGTTATCTGTGTATTTTACTTGATTTTTATATTAATTTGTAAAAATATTAGTATGAAATCTATATTGAGTATATTCATATGCTCATTCCATATTTAAAATATTTTCGGATACTTGATTGATTGGAGTTGACAGTTGAGACTGTTAACAGAGTGCATGTCGCTAGATCAAGAATTTTATTTTTTTTCAATATTTAGCATTTAGTTTAAAATTATTTTGCAATCAGAATTTTCTTTTGAAAATCGATGGATTTATATTTCATCAGTGAATTGAATTTATTTGACATACCATGAAACAATAAAACAACTTATTTTATTCTGCGAATTTCTTCAGTTTCTTGGTATTACAATGTATCAATCAATTTTTATAATGAATAAAGAAATTATTTTAGCAACTTTGGAGATACAAATTTTGGGATGTTATATAAAAAATATGGAAAAGTTTTAAGGCCCGTTTGATACAAGGAATTTTCTATGAAGGTTTTTTCACATTTTTCTTTGTTTGATTGCACGAATTTTCCCTCCACATGTGACACCTTTTTCCTTGTTTTGGTGTGGGAAATCAATTTCAATTTTTTTTTTTTAGGCAATGGAAACAAATTCTATTATTTTAATTGACAATTTTCATAAAAAATAAAGTCAAACGAATACTAAAAGATTTAAAATTTCAACATTTTTCATGTGAAAAATTATACCAATCAAATACATTTGATTGACAATTTTCAGTATAATAAGTCTATGCAATTCAATTTCCAAATTTTTTTTCACCCAAAATTTCATTATTGCAATAAAATGGACCTTTAAATTTACATGAAAAAGAAAAATCCCATCAACACATGACTAAGAATCTGTTTGGGAGTGATTTTGAGAATTGATTTTTGATAATTAGGAGAAAAGTAGGGTCTATTTGTGAAAAAAAAAGTCAAATATGAAAACTGAAATAATGAAATAACGGTCAAAAAATCAATTTTTTTGAGAAAAAAATAACTCACAAACAAGCTGTAAGTTAGACCCAAACTTTGAACGACGTTGACTTGGTCTGTTAAAATTCCCCAATTTTGGGAACTAGCACTGACAATCAGACAGCGAGAACTAGCAGACGGTAGTGAGGAAGAAATGGAGGAAAGTGACTACGTTTCAGAATCAACTCGGGCGGCAGCGTTCCGGCTAAAATGGGACGTGTTTCTGAGCTTCCGAGGCGAAGGCACCGGGAATAACTTCACCGATCTTCTCTACGACTCTCTCTTCTCCAATGAGATCCGAGTGTTTAGAGACAACGATGGAATGAATTGGGGCGATGAGATATCTCCGAGTTCGCTCGAAGCGATGGAGGACTCGGCGGCGGTTGTTGCTGTTATCTCGCCGAATTATGCATCCTCGCAGCGGTGCCTGGAGGAGCTGGCCAGAATTTGCGAGTTAAGGAAATTGTTGCTCCCCGTGTTCTTCCAAGTAGACCCGTCGGACGTGAGGAGGCAGAAAGGGCCATTTAAGGAAGCTATTGAGGGTTTGGAGGCAAAGTGTGGAGTAGAGAAAGTGAAGAGATGGAGGAATGCCATGGAAAGAACTGGAGGAATTTCTGGTTGCGTTTACAACAGCTGGTTAACTCTCTCTCTCTCTAACATCCATATGGAAAAGCGCTAAATTACGTGATTTTTGGGAAAGACAATGATGAAAAATATTAACTAAGTAAAAGAAGTTAAAATCTTATGTACGATAAGTAAAAATGGTCCACAATTGTCTTCGATCATGGTCTAAAGTAACTCAGGTTCTTCTTGAAATGATCTTGACATTGTCTTGGAGAGAGGTTCTGGATGAGTATTAGTATTCATAGGCAAGCCCTTTCCCTTCTAGTCGAGTTGCCTAGGAGATCTGTCTTCTTTCTCTTTTCTCTGGCATTCGACCTTGTTTATCACCGAGTACCAGTATCGTCATTAATGTGTTTTGGTAGTCGAAGACAAGGCTTTGAACTGCATCCACAACAAAATAATTAGAATTTCATGTCATTTAGGTAATAATCTAATGAGGGAATGTGATCATATATTTGTGCTTTTTATTCATTTTTTTTCTTTTTTAGAGAAATAAAAAAGTTTATTTATACCAAAAGATTTCATCAACTTTTATATTCATGATAAGAATATATAAACACAGATTTAGTGATATTTAAAAGTTCAAATTCATGTTTTTAGCTCGAGGTCTAAGCAAAAAATCTTCAATATAAAGCTAGGCCTTAGGCATAATCACCTTCCCTAACAATTTTGTTAAAGATAATTGTTAGGAAAAGAAAGAAATTTAGGAAAATATCTTTCCCTTTATGAATAACTAAGAGATTAGCACTGATATTTTGGTTTATATATCTAAAATTTTCAAATAGTTTTAACATTTATTTGTTGACTAGATGAGTTTTTTCCATAAAAGAGTGAAGAATAAATATAATATATGGAAAAATAATTGACAAGAAAATGAAAGTCTCACATTTGAAGTTTAAAGAGGACAAACTGGCAGTTTTTTCGGAGTTAAAATGAGCAATTAAGGCCCCGGTTGGTACATATTAATGTAAAAATAAGAATGAAAAATATAGTTGTTACGGGTTCCATACAAGAGATAGAAAGTCAAATATAATGACTTGATGTGATGGATAATGGTCATATTTTTCATTTTAATGGACAAATAATGAGAAACAAATGGAGGCTAAATTTAAACGTTGATGGTCTCAAAAGATTTACCATTTTATGTAAGCATAAGCATGTTAATTATAAAACCTAGTCTAGGACTTGTATTGTTCTCTGTACCAAGGTAAGTTTATGTTAAAATCCATAACACAAAAATGGGTCGTGGAATTAGCATACTTTTTTCTGTTTACTTATAATTGAAAAATAATTAACACCCAAACATGCTTATATAAGCTTGACAAGTAAAAAATTGCAAGATTTGTGCGTCTTTTCTTGGCACAAGAGAAAGTGATGAATACGAAATGATAGTAATGTTTATTGGCGGGGTTCAGTGTCATGAATGTGTCCAAAAACCTGTATTACACTTCATAAGTGATGTCAGTTTTGGCAGGAAAATGACATGCTAGGTTAATTTTGCTTTACAAAACTCCCAAAACTGTCGTAGATTTATAAATAGATAGAGATGAATGATTGATAAGTGAATAATATTTGTGGGTACACTAAAATGTGTGGTTGAAAATGGTTGACAATTTATAGTGTAAAAATCGTGTGTATTAGTGATTAATTGGGTTTGTACTTTGTACTATATTTAGTTTAGTTCTTTCCTTCTATTGGTAGTTAGATAAATTAGGAAGTTTCTCTTTCTTCTCCTAAATTAGGAGATTCTTTTCCTTTTCTTCTCAACAATGTACTATTAATAGGCCTTTATATTTCACTATTGTATATGAATTGAAGAACTTCCTTTCTTCATGGTATCAGAGCACCCAGGTTACTCTAAACATAGCAATTAATGATGGAAAATCCCGTCTACAGTAAAAGCTTCACAACATCAGAGTCATCTCACGGCGAGACGGAGATTAACTTTGCAATAAGTTCTCATGGAGTGGAAAATACCTCCTTTCATCTTACAGTAGAATAGTTGAATGGGAGGAATTTTAGGGGATCAACTCAATCAGTGAAATTAGTAAATGAAGGCAAGGGAAAAATTGGTTATTAGACCAGAAGAAGCCTACAGACGTTACCAAATTGTCGAGATGGAAATGAGAAAATTCTATGGTCATGGCTTGGCTGGTAAATTCTACGTAGCCATTTATTGGGAAAATGTGTCTTTTCTTCCCAACCGCAAAGGACATTTGGGATGCTGTGTAAGAAGTGTATTGGAACCCTGAAAACCTATCCCCGATTTTTGAAATTAAAACATGATTTTGGCAAGCCAAATAGGGAGAAAGGGAGGTTACTGAGTATTAACCGGAGATGACCACCCTTTGGCAAGAACTCGACCTTAGCTATGAAGAAGAGTGGGAATGTTCAGGCTACAATGTTAAGTATAAGAAAAAACTCGAAAATGAATAAGTTTATGAATTTCTCGCCGTCCTTAATCGGGATCTAGACAATGTTAGAGGCAAAATATTGAGTCGATGATCATTACCCTCGTCTAGGGAAGAATAGGGATGGCAAAAAAAACTCGCCAAACTTGATACCCGCTTAATCGGGTATTCACTGCGGGCTTTGGGCGGAAATTCTAATAGAATATGGCAACTAAGGGTATCTAAGAAATATGATGAACAATAGAAACTTTAGTTTATCAAATATATTTGAATAATTTAACTTTTAAAAATAAATAAATTAATTAAAAATTTAATAACTATGTTATTGTCTCACTTTAATGAATGTGGGCAATAAAATGAATTATCAAAAACTTAAAAAAGGGGTACATAAATGGTAAAGGCCCTTCCCCGCCTCGCTTCGCCTTAAATGGGTAATGGGCGGGAAGAGAACTGCCAGAAAGTGATGATGACTGAGGGGCCGAATAGAGACATTGAAGATGTGCTTCTGTCGAAGGGAGCTAGAGGAGAAATTGGGCTATGCTCTGATTTTCTTCCACACTTCAGCCCAAATAATAGTGGTAATGGGCTGGTAAAAGACAAACTCTTTAAAGCTGGATCCGGGTCAAGCAATTTTGGGCCTACAGGATCTCTAAACTTGGACCTAGTAGAAGTGAATATGAAATTGTAGCACTTTCTTCAAAATTTGGACATGGGCTGAGCCAAAGGCAACAAAAGGGATGTCTTTGGTGTGAATACTGTCGTGAGCTAGGACATAAGGACACATGTTGGGATAAACATGGGAAGCCCACTAACTAGAAGCCAAGACAGAACACTAAGAATCGCGATTATCAAGCTTTGATTGACCAAACGAGAAAATTTAAGTGAAAAGTGGAGCATTCAACCTTGAGCAGTTAGAGTAACTCAAATTTTCTCAAGTGTTCAAACATCGTCACTCGTCTACACACAGTTCTTCAAGCTCATTAACCTACAATGATAGTTTCCTAAAAGCCCTAAATATCTCATCAAGATATAAAACTCCTCGGATCATTGACTAGGGTGCATCTGATCAAATGACGAACGCTTATCATCTATTAACCTCATAATCACCATGTGTAGGAAATATAAAAGTTAAGATTGCTGACGAATCACTCTCATTTGTGGCAGGAAAAATGAGTATTCGTATTTTCGGGTCTGTAACTCTAAAATCTATTCTTCACGTTCCAAATTTGTCATGCAAATTATTGTCTGTTAGCTAATTAACTAGAGGCTCAAATTGCTTTGTTAATTTTTCTCATTTTCATTGTGTTTTTCAAGATATACCATCGGGGACGACGATTGGCAGTGCTAAAGGGTGTGAGGAACTCCACTATTTTGAAGAAACTGAAGTGGGTAAATGTTAAACTGAAACTTGTAATTCTATGTTGGCCTCTAGGGATATTGATGTTCTGTTATAGCATTATAGACTAGGCCACCCGAACTTGCAATATTTAAAACATGCCTTTCCTTCTATCTTCTTGAATAAAACCATTGCTGATTTTCAATGTGAAATTTGTGAATTTGCAAAATATTACCGCACTATTTATCCAAAGTCCACATATAAGCCATCAAAACCATTTACCATAATCCACAACGATCTATGGGGTGCCTCACGGATTCCTAATCGCACTCACACAAAATGGTTCGTCACATTTATAGATGATCACAATCGAGTATGTTAGGTCTATCAAATAAAAGAAAACCCGACGTACTTTCCATATTCATCAAAATTCACAAAATGATTCAAACACAAATTCGGATCCTACGTACTGATAATATAACTGAATACTTCAATACCTCCCTACGAGATTATCTGCAAGAACATGGGATTGTCCACCAAACTCATGCGTCGAGACTCCCTAGCAAAATGGGATTGCCGAACGAGAAAATCGACACATACTTGAAGTTACCCATACCATAATGTTCACTCCAAATATGCCAAAGATATTTTGAGGGATGCTGTCTTAACATCAACATCTCTTATCAACCGAATGCCTAGTCGCATACTTTCCCTCGAATCACCTATGCAAAAACTCAAGAATTCTTTTCCCCATTCTCGTCTAATTCCTAACATATCCCTCTAAGGTGTTTGGTTGAATTGCCTTTGCTCACAGTCATTCCCATAATCGAGGAAAACTTGATCCCTGTGCCTTTAAATGTCTTCATTGGATACTCGCCCACTTAGAAATGTTACAAATGCTATGATCCATCAACACGGAAAACATATGTTAGTCTGGATGTCACGTTTTTTGAAAAGACACCTTCACAAAAACTTCTCTTCAGGGAGAGAAGCCTAGTGAAGATAGGTTCTTAAATCTTAATACCTGCCCTAGGAATATCGAAATCTCATCCCCAAAGAACATCGAAATCTCACCTTCAAAACCTAATATGCCATATATAGAGGAAAATATGAACTAATGGGGAGATTTAGGAGTACAAAATGACACGGAGATGCCAGTTCAGTCACGGAAGCTAAAATCAAGGTATTAGGAGAATCTCACACTTGAAGTGCCAAAAGAATCAGAACCGATGATAGCTTCAGACCTAGCTCTAGATTCCCATGAATTTGAATCTTCAGATACCGATCTATCTATTGCACTCAGAAAACAAACTCGGTAATGTACTTTCCACCCTATCTTAAAATTCATATCTTATAATACTCTATATACAGGGTTCCGCACTTTTACATCCAATCTTGACAGTACTGAAATTCTAAGGAGCGTTCAAGAAGCTTTGAAAATTCCCAAATGGAGAGAAGTAGTGATGGAGGAAATGTGGGCATCGGAGAAAAATGAAACTTGGGATGTGATGGATCTATTGAGAGGAAAAAACCTATAGGATGTAATGGGTCTTCAATCTAAAGTATAAAGCAGATGAAACAATAAAATGATAGAAAGCTCAGCTGGTTGCAAAAGGATACCTTTAAACATATGGTATTGACTACATAGAGACATTTGCACCAGTAGCCAAACTAAATACCATCAGAGTTTTTGTTCTTAGCAGCTAATTTGGATTGGGCTCAACTGGTTGCAAAAGGATACACTCAAATTTGGATTGGCCTCAACTCAGCTGGTTGCAAAAGGATGCACTCAAACATATGGTATTGACTACACCTCTACATTTGTACTAGAAGCCAAACTAAATACCATCAGAGTTTTTGTCCTTAGCAGCTAATTTGGATTGGGCTCAACTGGTTGCAAAAGGATACACTCAAATTTGGATTGGCCTCAACTCAGCTGGTTGCAAAAGGATGCACTCAAACATATGGTATTGACTACACCTCTACATTTGTACTAGAAGCCAAACTAAATACCATCAGAGTTTTTGTCTTTAGCAGCTAATTTGGATTGGCCTCTATAACAACTTGACATTAAAAATGCATTTCTCAATGGGGAACTAGAAAAATAAGCCTTTATGTCTCTTACCACCAAGATTTGAAAAAGGGGGTGAGGAGACTTAGGTGTGTAAACTTAAGAAATCATTGTATGGCCTCAAACAGTCACCCAGGCCTGGTTTGATAGATTTGTAAAGGTGTTGAAAGACCAAGGTTATCAACAGGGAATATCAGATTATACCATGTTTTTCCAACATTCAAAAAATGGAACAAAGACCATTTTAATCGTATATGTAGATCGCATAATCCTAATGGGAGACAATATAAGCGAGATGGGAATATTCAAGAAATGTCTAGCAACAGAATTTGAAGTAAAAGATCTTGGACAAATCTGGTATTTCTTAGGGATGGAAGTGGTAAGATCAAAAAAGGGTATCAGCGTCTCGCAACGAAAATACATTCATGATCTCCTAACAGAAACAGACATGCTGGGATGTAAACCAAGTGACATACCTATTGATACAAGAAGGAAAATAGTAGATGATGGAGACCCCGTTCAGAAGGACAAACATTAGAGACTTGTCAGAAAATTGATCTATCCCACACTAGACCCAACATTGGCTTTTCGGTAAATGTGGTAAACCAACATATGCACTCACCAAAACATATTCATATGAAAGCAGTATATAGAATCCTCAGATGTCTTAAAGGGACACTTAAAAAAGGATTGTTCTTCAAGAAGAATGAAAACAAGAAAGTAAAAGTCTTCACGGATGCGGATTGGATAGGTTCAACAGACGATAGAAGATCAACTACTGATTATTGTACCTTTGTATGGAGAAACTTTGTAACCTAGAGGAGTAAAAAGCAAAATGTAGTGGCGAGAAGTAGTGCCTAAACTGAATTTAGAGCAGTTGCACAAGGGATATACAAATGACTATGGTTGAAGAAGCTTTTGGAAGAATTATGGGCCACGGTAAAACTTTCAATGAAGCTCTACTGTGATGAAAATAAAATATTTTGATATGAATCATCATCTAGGACGAGACATACTAATTAATAAAAAGTTGAAGATAAGAACTCGAGGCGTGATGTGGGGTGGGGCGGGGGGGGGGAGGCTGAAGAAGACAACCCTTTTTAATTTCTTTTTCTTAAATTTTTGACCTTTTTTTATTTTTTCCTAAATTTTTTATTTTTTGGTTCAATTTATTTAATATGTAATTATCAAGTTATCATTTTACAAATTTTGATTTAGTCAAAATTTACTTTTTTTGGTAAACTAACGGTCAAACCATCCATTTGGTCCACTACTGCATATTTTTGAAAGGTTAGAGACCTTCGCTAGCACAAATTGAAGATTATGGTAAACTTCACAAAAATTGAAATGCTAGGGACCGCTGCTGCAATTTTTCCTAAAATATAATACCTCAAGTACAATATATTATGAGGTATAGATGCAAATTTTGAGATTTTAAGGTAATTTAGCAACTTTGCCATTTTTTAACAACCTTGAGTTAATATTCTTAAAAATTGGATATATAAGAGTTTTATACGAAATTAAATTTTAATATTATTTTGGATATCTATTAAATTATTATTGAATTATCTTATATAAAAGTATTTAGATAAAACTTGAATTTGCATATATCAACACTAGAATTTTATCCTCATATAGTTAGAATTTTCTTAAATTCGAATTTTATGAGAAGTTTGATTATTGAAAGAGCAACCGGAAAGAGTCCTATTAAAATTATAATTAGATAATTATCCTTATCTAATCATACATATAAATACCTTCTTGTTGTTGCATTTCAATTCATACAAATTTAGAGGGAAAAAAGAATTGAGAGAGAAGAAAAAGAGAGACAAAAACCGTGAAAAAGAGAGAAATCTTGTTGCATTTCAACTCGTACAAATTTAGAGGGAAAAAGGAGTTGAGAGAAGCAAGGACAGAGAAAAGAAAAAGAGAGAAAAAGAAAGGAAAGAGAGAGAAAAGGAAGAAAAAGAAAAGAAGATGTTTTCTGACACTTTCAAGATTCGTTCAAAAGAATTTTCAGTTCTAAATAGTTAAAGTATGCAAGAAATTTAACGAATAAGGTATGAATTTCCCTAAATTCCAAGTGGTTTTGTGTTTTTCACTTTTTCATGTTTTATGTTTAAGTATTTTATATGCTATTATGTGATCTAAATTCAAGAATGATCTTATGAGTAATACTATCGACTATTATTATATAGATCTACATATAAATCAATTGTAAGGATAAATATTCTAAGTGGAGATTGAAAATAGATATGATCCAAGTAAGAATGGGATGGTCAAGTTTCCATCCCACCCGAAAAATTATGTTATCTGTGTATTTTACTTGATTCTTACATTAATTTGTGAAAATACTAGTATGAAATCTATATTGAGTATATTCATATGTTTATTCCATATTTAAAATATTTTCAGATACTTGATTGATTGGAGTTGACGGTTGAGACTGTTAACAGAGTGTATGTCGCTGGATCAAGAATATTTTTTTTTTCAATATTTAGCATTTAGTTTAAAATTATTTTGCAATCAGAATTTTCTTTTGAAAATTGATGGATTTATATTTCATTAGTGAATTGAATTTATTTGACATACTATGAAACAATAAAACAACTTATTTTATTCTGCGAATTTCTTCAGTTTCTTGGTATTACAATGTATCAATCAATTTTTATAATGAATAAATAAATTATTTTAGTAACTTTGGGGATACAAATTTTGGGATGTTACATAAAAAAATATGGAAAAGTTTTAAGGCCCGTTTGATACAAGGAATTTTCTATGAATATTTTCTCACCTTTTTCTTTGTTTGATTGCAAGAATTTTCCCTCCACATGTGACTCCTTGTTCCTTGTTTTGGTGTGGGAAATCAATTTCAATTTTTTTTTAGGCAATGGAAACAAATTCTATTATTTTAATTGATAATTTTCATAAAAAATAAAGTCAAACGAATACTAAAAGATCTAAAATTTCAACATTTTTCAGGTGAAAAATTATACCAATCAAATATATTTGACTGACAATTTTCAGTATAATAAGTCTATGCAATTCAATTTCCAAATTTTTTTTTCACCCCAAAATTTCATTATTGCAATAAAATGGACCTTTAAATTTACATGAAAAAGAAAAATCTCATCAAACATGACTAAGAACCTGTTTGGGAGTGATTTTGAGAATTGATTTTTTGACAGTTAGGAGAAAAGTGGGGTCTATATGTGAGAGAAGAAGTCAAATATGACTACTGAAATAGTAAAATAACAATCAAAAAATTAATTTTTTGAAGAAAAAAATTACTCCCAAACAAGCCGTAAGTTAGACCCAAAGTTTGAACGACGTTGACTTGGTCTCCCCAATTTTGGAAACTAGCACTGACAATCAGACAGCGAGAACTAGCAGACGGTAGAGAGGAAGAAATGGAGGAAAGTGACTACGTTTCAGAATCAACTCCGGCGGCAGCGTTCCGGCTAAAATGGGACGTGTTTCTGAGCTTCCGAGGCGAAGGCACCGGGAATAACTTCACCGATCTTCTCTACGACTCTCTCTTCTCCAATGAGATCCGAGTGTTTAGAGACAACGATGGAATGAATCGGGGCGATGAGATATCTCCGAGTTCGCTCGAAGCGATGGAGGACTCGGCGGCGGTTGTTGCTGTTATCTCGCCGAATTATGCATCCTCGCAGCGGTGCCTGGAGGAGCTGGCCAGAATTTGCGAGTTAAGGAAATTGTTGCTCCCCGTGTTCTTCCAAGTAGACCCGTCGGACGTGAGGAGGCAGAAAGGGCCATTTAAGGAAGCTATTGAGGGTTTGGAGGCAAAGTGTGGAGTAGAGAAAGTGAAGAGATGGAGGAATGCCATGGAAAGAACTGGAGGAATTTCTGGTTGCGTTTACAACAGCTGGTTAACTCTCTCTCTCTCTAACATCCATATGGAAAAGCGCTAAATTACGTGATTTTTGGGAAAGACAATGATGAAAAATATTAACTAAGTAAAAGAAGTTAAAATCTTATGTACGATAAGTAAAAATGGTCCACAATTGTCTTCGATCATGGTCTAAAGTAACTCAGGTTCTTCTTGAAATGATCTTGACATTGTCTTGGAGAGAGGTTCTGGATGAGTATTAGTATTCATAGGCAAGCCCTTTCCCTTCTAGTCGAGTTGCCTAGGAGATCTGTCTTCTTTCTCTTTTCTCTGGCATTCGACCTTGTTTATCACCGAGTACCAGTATCGTCATTAATGTGTTTTGGTAGTCGAAGACAAGGCTTTGAACTGCATCCAGAACAAAATAATTAGAATTTCATGTCATTTAGGTAATAATCTAATGAGGGAATGTGATCATATATTTGTGCTTTTTATTCATTTTTTTTCTTTTTTAGAGAAATAAAAAAGTTTATTTATACCAAAAGATTTCATCAACTTTTATATTCATGATAAGAATATATAAACACAGATTTAGTGATATTTAAAAGTTCAAATTCATGTTTTTAGCTCGAGGTCTAAGCAAAAAATCTTCAATATAAAGCTAGGCCTTAGGCATAATCACCTTCCCTAACAATTTTGTTAAAGATAATTGTTAGGAAAAGAAAGAAATTTAGGAAAATATCTTTCCCTTTATGAATAACTAAGAGATTAGCACTGATATTTTGGTTTATATATCTAAAATTTTCAAATAGTTTTAACATTTATTTGTTGACTAGATGAGTTTTTTCCATAAAAGAGTGAAGAATAAATATAATATATGGAAAAATAATTGACAAGAAAATGAAAGTCTCACATTTGAAGTTTAAAGAGGACAAACTGGCAGTTTTTTCGGAGTTAAAACGAGCAATTAAGGCCCCGGTTGGTACATATTAATGTAAAAATAAGAATGAAAAATATAGTTGTTACGGGTTCCATACAAGAGATGGAAAGTCAAATATGATGACTTGATGTGATGGATAACGGTCATATTTTTCATTTTAATGGACAAATAATGAGAAACAAATGGAGGCTAAATTTAAACGTTGATGGTCTCAAAAGATTTACCATTTTATGTAAGCATAAGCATGTTAATTATAAAACCTAGTCGAGGACTTGTATTGTTCTCTGTACCAAGGTAAGTTTATGTTAAAATCCATAACACAAAAATGGGTCGTGGAATTAGCATACTTTTTTCTGTTTACTTATAATTGAAAAATAATTAACACCCAAACATGCTTATATAAGCTTGACAAGTAAAAAATTGCAAGATTTGTGCGTCTTTTCTTGGCACAAGAGAAAGTGATGAATACGAAATGATAGTAATGTTTATTGGCGGGGTTCAGTGTCATGAATGTGTCCAAAAACCTGTATTACACTTCATAAGTGATGTCAGTTTTGGCAGGAAAATGACATGCTAGGTTAATTTTGCTTTACAAAACTCCCAAAACTATCGTAGATTTATAAATAGATAGAAATGAATGATGGATAAGTGAATAATATTTGTGGGTACACTAAAATGTGTGGTTGAAAATGGTTGACAATTTATAGTGTAAAAATCGTGTGTATTAGTGATTAATTGGGTTTGTACTTTGTACTATATTTAGTTTAGTTCTTTCCTTCTATTGGTAGTTAGATAAATTAGGAAGTTTCTCTTTCTTTCTCCTAAATTAGGAGATTCTTTTCCTTTTCTTCTCAACATTGTACTATTAATAGGCCTTTATATTTCACTATTGTATATGAATTGAAGAACTTCCTTTCTTCATGGTATCAGAGCACCCAGGTTACTCTAAACATAGCAATTAATGATGGAAAATCCCGTCTACAGTAAAAGCTTCACAACATCAGAGTCATCTCACGGCGAGACGGAGATTAACTTTGCAATAAGTTCTCATGGAGTGGAAAATACCTCCTTTCAACTTACAGTAGAATAGTTGAATGGGAGGAATTTTAGGGGATCAACTCAATCAGTGAAATTAGTAAATGAAGGCAAGGGAAAAATTGGTTATTTGACCGGAAGAAGCCTACAGACGCTACCAAATTGTCGAGATGGAAATGAGAAAATTCTATGGTCATGGCTTGGCTGGTAAATTCTACGTAGCCATTTATTGGGAAAATGTGTCTTTTCTTCCCAACCGCAAAGGACATTTGGGATGCTGTGTAAGAAGTGTATTGGAACCCTGAAAACCTATCCCCGATTTTTGAAATTAAAACATGATTTTGGCAAGCCAAATAGGGAGAAAGGGAGGTTACTGAGTATTAACCGGAGATGACCACCCTTTGGCAAGAACTCGACCTTAGCTATGAAGAAGAGTGGGAATGTTCAGGCTACAATGTTAAGTATAAGAAAAAACTCGAAAATGAATAAGTTTATGAATTTCTCGCCGTCCTTAATCGGGATCTAGACAATGTTAGAGGCAAAATATTGAGTCGATGATCATTACCCTCGTCTAGGGAAGAATAGGGATGGCAAAAAAAACTCGCCAAACTTGATACCCGCTTAATCGGGTATTCACTGCGGGCTTTGGGCGGAAATTCTAATAGAATATGGCAACTAAGGGTATCTAAGAAATATGATGAACAATAGAAACTTTAGTTTATCAAATATATTTGAATAATTTAACTTTTAAAAATAAATAAATAAATTAAAAATTTAATAACTATGTTATTGTCTCACTTTAATGAATGTGGGCAATAAAATGAATTATCAAAAACTTAAAAAAGGGGTACATAAATGGTAAAGGCCCTTCCCCGCCCCGCTTCGCCTTAAATGGGTAATGGGGCGGGAAGAGAACTGTCGGAAAGTGATGATGACTGAGGGGCCGAATAGAGACATTGAAGATGTGCTTCTGTCGAAGGGAGCTAGAGGAGAATTTGGGCTATGCTCTGATTTTCTTCCACACTTCAGCCCAAATAATAGTGGTAATGGGCTGGTAAAAGACGAACTCTTTAAAGCTGGATCCGGGTCAAGCAATTTTGGGCCTACAGGATCTCTAAACTTGGACCTAGTAGAAGTGAATATGAAATTGTAGCACTTTCTTCAAACTTTGGACATGGGCTGAGCCAAAGGCAACAAAAGGGATGTCTTTGGTGTGAATACTGTCGTGAGCTAGGACATAAGGACACATGTTGGGATAAACATGGGAAGCCCACTAACTAGAAGCCAAGACAGAACACTAAGAATCGCGATTATCAAGCTTTGATTGACCAAACGAGAAAATTTAAGTGAAAAGTGGAGCATTCAACCTTGAGCAGTTAGAGTAACTCAAATTTTCTCAAGTGTTCAAACATCGTCACTCGTCTACACACAGTTCTTCAAGCTCATTAACCTACAATGATAGTTTCCTAAAAGCCCTAAATATCTCATCAAGATATAAAACTCCTCGGATCATTGACTAGGGTGCATCTGATCAAATGACGAATGCTTATCATCTATTAACCTCATAATCACCATGTGTAGGAAATATAAAAGTTAAGATTGCTGACGAATCACTCTCATTTGTGGCAGGAAAAATGAGTATTCGTATTTTCGGGTCTGTAACTCTAAAATCTATTCTTCATGTTCCAAATTTGTCATGCAAATTATTGTCTGTTAGCTAATTAACTAGAGGCTCAAATTGCTTTGTTCATTTTTCTCATTTTCATTGTGTTTTTCAAGATATATCATCGGGGACGACGATTGGCAGTGCTAAAGGGTGTGAGGAACTCCACTATTTTGAAGAAACTGAAGTGGGTAAATGTTAAACTGAAACTTGTAATTCTATGTTGGCCTCTAGGGATATTGATGTTCTGTTATAGCATTATAGACTAGGCCACCCGAACTTGCAATATTTAAAACATGCCTTTCCTTCTATCTTCTTGAATAAAACCATTGTTGATTTTCAATGTGAAATTTGTGAATTTGCAAAATATTACCGCACTATTTATCCAAAGTCCACATATAAGCCATCAAAACTATTTACCATAATTCACAACGATCTATGGGGTGCCTCACGGATTCCTAATCGCACTCACACAAAATGGTTCGTCACATTTATAGATGATCACAATCGAGTATGTTAGGTCTATCAAATAAAAGAAAACCCGACGTACTTTCCATATTCATCAAAATTCACAAAATGATTCAAACACAAATTCGGATCCTACGTACTGATAATATAACTGAATACTTCAATACCTCCCTACGAGATTATCTGCAAGAACATGGGATTGTCCACCAAACTCATGCGTCGAGACTCCCTAGCAAAATGGGATTGCCGAACGAGAAAATCGACACATACTTGAAGTTACCCATACCATAATGTTCACTCCAAATATGCCAAAGATATTTTGAGGGATGCTGTCTTAACATCAACATCTCTTATCAACCGAATGCCTAGTCGCATACTTTCCCTCGAATCACCTATGCAAAAACTCAAGAATTCTTTTCCCCATTCTCGTCTAATTCCTAACATATCCCTCTAAGGTGTTTGGTTGAATTGCCTTTGCTCACAGTCATTCCCATAATCGAGGAAAACTTGATCCCTGTGCCTTTAAATGTCTTCATTGGATACTCGCCCACTTAGAAATGTTACAAATGCTATGATCCATCAACACGGAAAACATATGTTAGTCTGGATGTCACGTTTTTTGAAAAGACACCTTCACAAAAACTTCTCTTCAGGGAGAGAAGCCTAGTGAAGATAGGTTCTTAAATCTTAATACCTGCCCTAGGAATATCGAAATCTCATCCCCAAAGAACATCGAAATCTCACCTTCAAAACCTAATATGCCATATATAGAGGAAAATATGAACTAATGGGGAGATTTAGGAGTACAAAATGACACGGAGATGCCAGTTCACTCACGGAAGCTAAAATCAAGGTATTAGGAGAATCTCACACTTGAAGTGCCAAAAGAATCAGAACCGATGATAGCTTCAGACCTAGCTCCAGATTCCCATGAATTTGAATCTTCAGATACCGATCTATCTATTGCACTCAGAAAACAAACTCGGTAATGTACTTTCCACCCTATCTTAAAATTCATATCTTATAATACTCTATATACAGGGTTCCGCACTTTTACATCCAATCTTGACAGTACTGAAATTCTAAGGAGCGTTCAAGAAGCTTTGAAAATTCCCAAATGGAGAGAAGTAGTGATGGAGGAAATGTGGGCATCGGAGAAAAATGAAACTTGGGATGTGATGGATCTATTGAGAGGAAAAAACCTATAGGATGTAATGGGTCTTCAATCTAAAGTATAAAGCAGATGAAACAATAAAATGATATAAAGCTCAGCTGGTTGCAAAAGGATACCTTTAAACATATGGTATTGACTACATAGAGACATTTGCACCAGTAGCCAAACTAAATACCATCAGAGTTTTTGTCCTTAGCAGCTAATTTGGATTGGGCTCAACTGGTTGCAAAAGGATACACTCAAATTTGGATTGGCCTCAACTCAGCTGGTTGCAAAAGGATGCACTCAAACATATGGTATTGACTACACCTCTACATTTGTACTAGAAGCCAAACTAAATACCATCAGAGTTTTTGTCTTTAGCAGCTAATTTGGATTGGCCTCTATAACAACTTGACATTAAAAATGCATTTCTCAATGGGGAACTAGAAAAATAAGCCTTTATGTCTCTTACCACCAAGATTTGAAAAAGGGGGTGAGGAGACTTAGGTGTGTAAACTTAAGAAATCATTGTATGGCCTCAAACAGTCACCCAGGCCTGGTTTGATAGATTTGTAAAGGTGTTGAAAGACCAAGGTTATCAACAGGGAATATCAGATTATACCATGTTTTTCCAACATTCAAAAAATGGAACAAAGACCATTTTAATCGTATATGTAGATCGCATAATCCTAATGGGAGACAATATAAGCGAGATGGGAATATTCAAGAAATGTCTAGCAACAGAATTTGAAGTAAAAGATCTTGGACAAATCTGGTATTTCTTAGGGATGGAAGTGGTAAGATCAAAAAAGGGTATCAGCGTCTCGCAACGAAAATACATTCATGATCTCCTAACAGAAACAGACATGCTGGGATGTTAACCAAGTGACATACCTATTGATACAAGAAGGAAAATAGTAGATGATGGAGACCCCGTTCAGAAGGACAAACATTAGAGACTTGTCAGAAAATTGATCTATCCCACACTAGACCCAACATTGGCTTTTCGGTAAATGTGGTAAACCAACATATGCACTCACCAAAACATATTCATATGAAAGCAGTATATAGAATCCTCAGATGTCTTAAAGGGACACTTAAAAAAGGATTGTTCTTCAAGAAGAATGAAAACAAGAAAGTAAAAGTCTTCACGGATGCGGATTGGATAGGTTCAACAGACGATAGAAGATCAACTACTGATTATTGTACCTTTGTATGGAGAAACTTTGTAACCTAGAGGAGTAAAAAGCAAAATGTAGTGGCGAGAAGTAGTGCCTAAACTGAATTTAGAGCAGTTGCACAAGGGATATACAAATGACTATGGTTGAAGAAGCTTTTGGAAGAATTATGGGCCACGGTAAAACTTTCAATGAAGCTCTACTGTGATAACAAAGCTGCAATAAACATTTCCCTTAATCACGTTTAACATGATCGAACCAAACATGTAGAAGTGGATAGACATTTCATCAAAAAAAATGTTGAAGATGAAATCATTTGGATGACCTACATCCCTACTAGAGAACAAATTTTGACATATTCACCGAAGGACTATCTATGCAAAGTTTTGCTGATTTTGACCACAAATTGGAAATTGTCAACATTTACCATCCAACTTGAGGGAGGAGTGTAGAAAACGTGTGTATTAGTGGATTGATACTTAGTGCTATATTTAGTCTAGTTCTTTCCTTCTATTGGTAGTCACTTAGATAAATTAGGAAGTTCCTCTTTCTTCTCCTAAATTAGGAGATTCTTTTCCTTTTCTTCTTCTCAATATTGTACTATTAATAGAGTTGTATATTTCACTATTGAATATGAATTGAAGAACCTCCTTTCTTCATATAGACGGATTATTTTCCAAATGGAATATAAGTCAAGAGCCTAGCCAATTAAAATATAAAAAAACTATTGATAGTATCATTGATTCTATCAATCTAGTGAAAACGATGTGCTCCATTAATGTTGGTTCACAAAACTCTAAATCGAGAAAATTTAGTCAAGAGCCTAGTGAATTACACTAATGAAAATCAAAAAGGCAATTGAGACTATCGATTCCATTAAACTAAGTAAGACGGGATAAGAAAAAGGAAGAGAAAAAGAGACAACATAAGGAAGAGAAAAAGAGACAACATGTTTGTCATTGTATATTTAGTGAACTATTGACGTTTATCCTAAAAAGTCATTGATAGGGGCCATCTAGTTTTCATGTATAACATCCGCCGCAAACATGCACGTACATTTTTCCTATTTTTCTCTCTAAACTTTATCTCTTTCTACCATAATCTCACAATTTTTCTCTCTTAATCCCTCAAAATCATGTTTTGGTTCCATGATTTTTTTGGTTCGAGCACGTCAATAT